AGCAGGAATCACTCTCGTTCTCTCCGTAGTCATAGGAAGAACTGCTGTTCTCCAGGAGGAAGGCGAAGGCAGAGGCATCTAGCACCTGGAGCTCGCTCACCTGAGGAGGGAGGGCGGGAGGAAGAAGCCTGTAAAGGCCCGGCAGCTGCTCCTAGGTGTTAGTTCATTTCTCTGAGCTCTCCTGGCAAGCCAGCCCCAGGCCAGACTCTGTGACTGCCCCTACCTTTCAGGGCCACACCTCCTGAACATCCACCCAGCCTGGGTTCTGTCAAGGTGACCTCCCCTCTCAAAGGCTGCTTCTCTCTTACCTTTATGGGCAATCCCATGGGCCCAGGGGTCCTAGGCAGGAGAAAGAGCTTCCCCTCAGTGCCCAGGTCCCCCCTGCCTGCTGTCCTCTCTCTCTCTGGCTCTCTCTTCATGGCCTGCTGTCCACAGTGCTCCAGCCACACCTAGTTCAACCACCTTTCTCCCCAAGTGCCTCCCCAGTGTCCCCTCCGCCAGGCACGGACCCTCCTCTTTCTGCCTCAGCGCTCATCCAGGGACCCCAGCTTCCCGTACTTCTCCCCCATGGGACCTCTACAAATCACTGCAGCCCCCTTCCCCCAGTGCATGCTTTCTGGCCCATTCTTCCCCTTCCCGTTCCCCCCCATTGGAAGCTGGCTTCCTGACCAAGCACTAGCAGGAATCTTCTTTACCGCCTCATCAAACCCACCCCGTCCCAAACCCCTGGAGAGCTGCAGACCTCCCCAGCACTAATTCAATCCAGCACACAAGAGTCCCAAGTTCTAAGTGAGCTGAAGCTTAGAGATCATCAAGGTCAAGCCTCTAAACCCCCATGTTTTGCAGATAAAGCACTAAAGCCAAAGAGGGGAGGAGACTCACCCGTGGTCACTGGCCAGGCTGGGTCCCGAATTCCCTGTCTGGTGCTCCTACCACAGCCCTTGCAGCCTCTGTCTTCCTCTCCCAACCCTCTGGTGACCCTGGGTGGTGAGCCAGCCTGGGCATTTCTCTGATGCCCGGGGTTCTCCACGCAAGCCATGACTTACCTCGGGGACCATGGCTGGGCTGGCGCTCTGTCTGTGTGCTGCCTGCCCCTCTGCTTTGGTGCTTGTGGTTGGGAACCTGCACTGCACAGAGGAAGTGAGGGTTTCGCACAGTTCTCAGCAGCAGCCTCTTCCAGGGGATTATCTTCATCAGACCTCCTGGCCCCCATGCCATGGACTTTCTATCCCAGCCATTCCTGTGGCCATGGCTGTGGCTGTGACCAGGTGAAGCCACCCTGGAGAGCTGACCACAAGCCTGGGACCAGAAAGGCAGGACCCTAGGGGAGCACATGGGGTGGCTGTATAGGGCAGGGCATAGGGCGGCTGTGTGGGGCAGGTCCTTTGAGGGGAGCGGTCTGAAGAAGTAACAAGGCAGGTGGGAAGTGAAGGGCAGCTGCCAGGGGCAGAATTTCTTTTCCTGCACAGGCGTAAAGCAACATTCAGCGCATTGGAACTTGTGCTCGTCTGCCCTGGGCTGGCATTGATCTTTGCATGACTGGGAAGACTGGCTTGTAAAATGCATTACGTCTGTAAAGGACATGAGCCTTCTTAAAAAAATGAAAACATCCTAAGACAATCCATCACTCTAAGCCTAGTTCTTTATCACTACCCCTCCCCACTCATCAATAAGGGAAAGAAAAGGGAACTGCTGGTACGGAACCTGCTGTGTGCTAGATGTCACTTTAGGCACTTTCTCTGACAGGCCCTCGCTCCTTCCAACCACAGGACTCCCTTGTGAGGCAGGGGTTGACCCCGTGGATAATTCAAAAAGGAGAAAGGCCTTCGCCAGATACAGCGAATAAGGGCGAGTGTGAGGGCTGAAGCCATGGCTGACTGTCCTTTCGCTACTCATCGTGCTACCCTTAGTTTCCTTTAAATGGATGAACTAAGATATAAAATATTCATGCAGTTCAAAAACGAATACACCGAAACCATGTATTTAACTTGGAAGCATCTAGAAAAGCCAATGACCGCATGGTGGAAGAGGCGAATTAGAGAATATCATGCGTCGTTTGATACCACTCATGTAAATTCTAAAAGCCACCACAAAAAGAGCACCATATTGTTTTGGATACAGCTGTTTGTTCTCGCAGTTCAAAGCAGGGACTGGAGACACCGCAAAGTCATGAGACCAATCACTTTGGGGGCGGGGAGGGAGATGGGTTGGGGAGGACTACATCAGACTCTCCTGATTTTATAGATGATTTGCCAGAGGGCACAGGTACTTGCCTAAGAGAGAGGAGAAAGCATTCCTAGATGGGGTGCGGTCACACTGCAATCTCTTTTCCACTTCTCCATCCTGTCAGAAGTTCAGGCATGCATGCACATGTGCCCAGCATGTTTTTGAAGCTACTGGGGCCAGGACTCAAACCGTGCAGTCAGCCACGTGGAATCTGGCATGGGACTGGACTCAGATTTTGTTTCTAAAGAATTATTTGTTTAATTTTGTTTAATTTTTTTTTTCAATTCACCAGAGACAGAGGGAGAGAGAGAGAAAGTGAGAAAGCAAGCAACCAGGTCCAAGACTTGAACCAGGGTCAACCATGTGAGAATCCAGCACCCCAGCCATCATGCCACCTGCTGGCCCCTGGATTTTTTTTTTTAAATGATGGTCTGAGTGCATGTATGTGAGGATGGAGGAGCACCCTTGGCTCATCATGCCATGATCTCCTTTCTCTGGCCCTCCAGCTCCTCAGGATTTGGGGTCCCTGTGTGTTCACTGGCATGTTTTCAGGTTGACCTGCGATCCAAACCCATGGTCAGTCATGTGGCTTCCAGCACTGCAGTTTAGTATGCTATGGGCTGTAGCAGCTAGTTTGGGCCACCCTCCCGATTTTTTTGTTTGTTTCTGCTATAGGGTACATGCATTCACCAGAGAGAGAGAGAGAGAGAGAGAGAGAGAGAAATCATCCTCTAGTGGGGAATAATGGCTACACTGCAAATCCCTCTCCAGATTTTGGGAACACATGCACATGAGCCTGGCATGTTTTTCAAGCTGTGGGGTCTGAGACCCAGACTGCAAAGTCGGACATGTGGGATCCAGTTGCCTCAACCTCCATGCCACCTGCTGGGCCCACCCTCCTGAATTTAAGGAAAGCCTTAAGATAACTTTGGCACATAACTCTGTCACTTTGTGGTGGAACAGTTCCTCTCCCCACTTCCCTTCAGCTCTCCTCTTTGCCGTCTTCTCCCCTACCTCTTACTCTTATTC